TTTCCTTTCTGCTAATTCCGCAGTTCTGCATATTCCTGAGCAGCAAAGGGTAAACCACGGAACGTGCAGAACTGCGGAATTTGCAGACTGTGGAATCTGCAGAACCGCGGAATTTGCAGAAAAAGAAAATATGTCTATCGATTTCAAAACCACGGAATGTGCAGAACTGCGGAATTTGCAGACGTGTGGAATCTGCAGAACCGCGGAACTTGCAGAAAAAGAAAATATGTCTATCGATTTCAAAAACCGTGGAATATGCAGAAGTGCGGAATTTGCAGAAATGCCGATGGACCGATCGATCCCTATCGCTTCTTTGTCCGTAATTTCTGCATGTCTGCAAATTCCGCGGAATTTGCCGTCGTGCGGAATCTGCAGATTCTGCATTTCTCCCAATTCCGCACGACGGCAGGGAAGAACCAATCGATCCCTATCAATTCTTTGTCCGTCATTTCTGCATGTCGGCAAATTCCGCGGAATTTGAAGAAATGCAGTTTTCAGATCGATACGTATATATTTCCTTTCTGCAAATTCCGCAGTTCTGCATATTCCGCATTTCTGCATCATGTATGAACGCGGCCTAACCCCGAAAAAGCAGCCAAAAACAGTGAAAAATAGGGAGAAAATGACATAACCAGGCCGGAAACAGCTGATCGCCGCCAACAGTTCCTACGTACGCGGTCGCTGCTGCACTCGCGTCTGCGACCATTCAGCCGCCTGATCAACTGCCCGGATGACGACTATATAGCCCGGACGAAGTATGGGACCACGCTCAGGTACCACTACCCCTCCCGTGCACTTTTGAGCGAACGAGGTAGCACGGCACTGCATCTGCGGAACCTCACCTCGCAAATGGCGAATATCGTCCTCTGGAGTGAATGCACAATTTGTCTCCAACATCTAAGAACTCGTATACAGGGCTCAAGCCCACGAATGTCTATAAGTCGCATTGGCACTGTTCGGAGACGGGTGGACTTTGCGCCTTCGATATTTCCCATCGACGTGTCGACCCATCTAGACAGCCTCTTCTCGAGTTGACAGGTTTTACCATGATGGCTTGACGAGCCTGCTCCAGCCTCACAAGGAAAATGGAAAAACGGAATACTGAACGTGAACCATTCAACAACACCCCCCACCCCGTCTTCCTGATTCGCTAGTGTACGGAGGCGACCAACACGACCTCCCATGTGGCCCCTTTACAAGCGTTTTTTGGTGCAAGCTAAAGCATGGTCTCAGCCTCACGCAGACCCAGACTGCACAGCTTTGCTTGTTTCTACAAAATATTTCTTGCGCGACAGTTGACTGCTACTCAAGATGATGTTCAATATTTGCTTCTATTTCAGTAAACAAATTAAACATGCACAGGATCCCGAGTTCCCTTTGATAAAGAACGGTCTGAATAGGAAAAAGGCTATGTCGCACATCATAGCAATGCAAAGTTCAAAAAAACTTTCCTGCTGCTAACGGAACCATGTATGATATTCTACTGTGCCAACAACAACAACAACTTTATCATTATATAATACTCGGAGAGGGTTTACATCGCTTCCTGTTGCGCTTTCAGTTGAAGCAATAGAGCCTTCTTCTCAGCAACTCGTTCTCTTCTCTTTTCCAAGCTGATCTTCTTAGCCGTAAACCTGCATAGAAATGTCTTGAGAGAGCAGAAAACAAAGACCTTATAAGTAATACCCTCGCTGTACAACGAAATACAAACAGCTGCGAGTTTTACCTCTTCTGTTCTCCTGTCTTCTTGGCTGGTTTCGGCCGGGAATCTGGGTTGGCACGAATGGCTTCGTGGCCCTTCTTGTACATCTGAAGCAACTCAGTAAACGAAATGGTATTTCTTCAACAAAAGAGTAGCAGACCTCTTCAAGGTTGTCGGCTGTGATTCCATTGGCGATGAACTGAGAGAACTGTCTCTTGTAAGCATCCTCGTCCTCCTCCTTGAGAGTACGCATGTATTCAGCGACGTGCTTACCGAAGATGCGGTCACGGTGTGCCTCAGCATCGTATTTCTTAGATTCAGAATCGTAGCCAAAGAACCTGTTCTCACTGAAAATGGGTTCCGTGCAAAAAAGAGACACAGTGGAAGAGCTAGAAAGGTAAACTAAGAGATGGCACAAACCTATGAGGAACATCAATTCCTCCATCAGCAACACCTTTCATAACGGCAAACACTTTGCATCCAGTGGTGGTACGGGCCAATCCAACATCGAGCACAGCTTTGAACGGATTACGACCTCCCTCGTTCTCAACGATGTAGAACTCACCGTTGACCTTGAAGAGCGTTCACTGAGATATAACAGAATACCGATGATATAAGGACTCACCTCTTCTTGACCCTTGAAAGTCTGGTCCAGCTGGAGGTTTTTTAAATGACGACGCGCAAGCAACAAGCCTGTTGCGTAAGCAGCAGCATAGTTGGTAAGACCAACCTGAGAGAACAGAAATGACAGCGAAACCTACGAGACCCACAGCGCAAATCTACCTTGATGCCGAACGATGGAAGTTCATGCGAGTACGCTGATGCAACAATGACGTCTCCCTCGATCTTTGAGTACGCGATCTACGAATGCATAGAATTAGACAAAATAGAACCAAACATGGCAAGTAAAATAAAGTACAGCTATTTCGCCAGTGTCAGGTATCGTTAGATCCTCCGAAGGAATAGCTACAGTCTAGGTCGCTGAAGATGAAGGGGTGTAAGGCAGGACAAGTTTGCCGCGGTGCCAAACCCGTTCTCCACCAGCTGTTGAAGCGAGCAAGTGACAAGACTGTATCATATCGTTCGCATCACTCGTTTCCTACCAGCTGTTGTTGCATACCCGCTTTTACAACTCTCAGAGAACGGATTTGGCGCCGCGGCACACTCACGCTTGACATGCCCCTTCATCCACAGCGAATAAAGTACATTTTACATGCAAAGACAAGCAAGTACTGAAATGTGCATAAATTGCTTACAGAAAATAAGTTCCAGAGAATATCAGTCCAAAAGCGCATGCTATCAATCTATGTTCTACAGATACCTAATTATAACAGTCTCAACCTAAATTTTAAATTTAGGCGCACAGTAGCTATGTGTTGAATATCTCGTTTCGCCGACTATACATAAAAATACCTTAGGTCACTCGTGAACTTTATACCACAGGAGACTCTCTCTCTGGACTGTTATTTGGATTTTACCCCTATAACATAAACTTATGACTGATGAATCAACCCTACCCAAGAAGAACAAATGCTGAGTCAAGTTAAATTCAACTACCATTTACTATTGAGATGACTACTTGGAACTAAAACAATTTTTTTTTCAACGAAGGTGTTCGGTAAAGATAGAATGACACATAATGTTTCAAATGTTCTGCCATCTCATCTTTTATAAGTCTTAGCATTGGAAAAAAAGGATTGAAGGAACTCGCTGAAGTTGGCACAAGGCACATTAAAACGTTGTCATTTGTAGGGAAAGGACCCCGAAGAGAATGCTTCAAGTTTACGGCAAGTTCTTATCCATAACAGGCTGTGTAACAGACTGATGACATTCTGGTTTTTTTAAACTATGACTTCTACAATGAAACGCACGATCTTGGTACCGCTTCGCTGTGCATTTTCCACAGAGCATTCTGGCGTACAAGTCACTCACAACTGCTTCAATATGAAAAATTCTAGGAATCAGATTCACCTCCTTTTAATGCATGTTGGCTTCAGACTGTTATCTCCAGCTCTTGGCTGCGCGAACCATCTCTGCCATTACATTTCCGCAAGCTCCACTAATATTGCGCGCCGCGCTAGAAGCGTCTCCCCCCACACACCCCCCACACACACATACCACCAACTGCGGATAAATAAATAGCAAGCGATTTCAATTCTCGTTTAGCCGAATCTTAGAGCAAGCCTTATGCCAAAATGTTCGCAAGAAAACGTACGATTGAACAAAGCGAAAACCACGAACCACGTTACAAAAATCAAGCAAAAGAACCAGTCTCTATATATTGCGTTTTTAATTAGTCTGAGTGCCCGTCTTTTCTTTGCAAGCTACGGTAGTCATTACAATACGCAAATAAACGGATGAGATTCCTGAATGTAACACCGAAGTCTTCACAGGCAATGGAGTAACCGAATCGAAATGGACCTAACTGCAACAGCGTGAAGGCATTAAAAAAAACTTCAAAAAAAGCTAAAATGTCAGAACCTGGGCGATGACATCCTTGTTCGTAAAACGCACAATCAGACGGTACTTCGGCGTGTTGTACTTGTTCTTGTCTTGTACGGTGAGCCTTTTTCTTGCATAATAATCAGTCTTTCCCTGCCGTCTTCGCTTTAACTTCACCTGATACCTCTTGAAGTAGGCCTTGTTCTTCACGACTTTCACTAGACCCATACCCTGGAATGGAAATGGATACTAAGCGAAAAATTCAGGCACCACTGAGGCAAACTGAACTTCACAGAATTGATCATATTGAGTTTAAGCCTACTACATTCTGTAACGGATTCCATTACGCAGAAGAGACTTTTTCTAGAGACTATTTTTAAAAAGGATTTGAAGAAAGAGGTGAAGTCGAAAATGTTAATGTATGCTAAAGGCCACAAAATTCATATCAAGTCGAGTAAGTCGAACAAGACAAGATCACTAAGACCCGAGCTCATCCCCATCTGAGAAGTGATCAGCTATCAAGGATCACGCCAGAGCATGGACTAGAACCGGCTCAACAATAACGCTTTCTTCTGACCCAGAGCAATTTTAAGCCCTGACAATGGGAATTACACTCGGAGGTCAAGTTTGTGGCTGAAATCATAACCCAGTTTAACTGTTTCTGATCACTGTCAATAGTGGTTTTCTTAAACATACAACAATAATGACGTCAAATCCGCTATGGGCGCCAAATGAGCACGACGAAGCCTAAACAACAGCAAAGGTTTATGGCATTATTACTCACAGAAGTTGAGTAGTAATCACTATGAGACCAAGCGAAGGGCAACTTAAGAGAGATTTACAAGTTTGACTAGGAAACAAGCGGGGAAGTCTGACGCCTCTCCCGGCCTTGGACGTACGAATTCATGTGTAAATGTAAAAAAAGGACAAATAAAATCACGTTTAACCGGAAGTAATTGAGGCGAAAAGCGAAAACATGCAATGTCGAGCAACTATCCATTTCGCTGCTGCGAACGTCGAATGCGCAGCCGAGGTCCTGAAGCGAAAACGGCTGCCAATGTCTGCTTGCACACGGAAATGCAGCCGTGTTCCTGAGCGAGATGTGTTAGTTACGGAGCCTATCATGGAGCGTTTTGAGCAAGATGAACTGTTAAGGCTTTGTTTAGTCTTGGTTCGAAGCATCACATACCGCGTGCCTGCAAGAAGATTTGCCTACCAAAGGGGATGGACCCGCGAAAATAAAGTTTGCATTGAGTATAAGGAAATCCTGGGAATGATGCAAAAAAATGCGAGTCAGATGCTCCTTCTTTTTGGAAACGTGGCGGAAAAGTTGATCCAAGAATCAGGTCTTAGTGCTAGGAGAGCCATCAGTCTTCTAGCCCAACCCCACACCAACTCGCAAACATATAGTTTTTGGAAGCCTGAGCAAAACTTAAAGTTGACTGGAGAATTGCTCTCACATCAGACGTAGTTTGAGCCTATGAACACGAAAATGGCAGTCATTAGGCAACGAAATGTTCCTGTGGTGTAACTTTTACTCGTTCAGTCTTCAGTAGGATAGTACTGATCACCGCTGTAAAATATATCTGATGGTTTAGATGTCAACAAATGGCTTCCTCCACCTGAGATCCTTCCCTGATCGTCGCTTATAACAGCACTTTACAGTGGTAAGGGTGCCTATATTTTCCCGTTCTCGTTTTTTCTTGTCCGCCTTATTCGTTTCTCGTTGTACTATAATTATTTTATATACATAAGTCACATCCTGCGGCTTGTGTTCGTTCTTTTGTTACAAGCATTGATTGAGGTTGATATACGCTATATGTACCTCGTCATCCGGGCAGTTGATTAGGGCGGTCGTCAACGGGCCGCAGCGCGTGCCAGGAACTATTTGCTTTTCCAGACTAATTTAGTCATTTTTTCCAACTTTTCACTGTTTTGGCTACTTTTTCCCAGATTAGCAGCTCCTTATCTTCACAAGGTGGAAAAAATGACTAAATTAGCCTGGAAAAGCAAATAGTTCCTGGCACGCGCTGCGGCCCGTTGACGACCGCCCTAATCAACTGCCCGGATGACGAGGTTATGTTGTTGCAGTGCGCAATTATTATATACAACATATATCACAACGGCAAAGTAATGGTGCGAAGCGCAAAAGCGAAAACAGAGCAAAATGCAGGTACAGAAAATCAAAAAAAAAAAACACTCGCAACTCATTAAAATTAGGCGTGAGGTACGCAAGGTTTACGGTTGGCAAGGAGGGCGCAAGTGATGTGACTGCGTCCAGCAACTTGGATCCCTCTTCCATTGCTCGATCATGCGCGGCATCCTCGATGTGCATCACTTTGCTGATCGGATGTAGCGAAGGTCATATGATTCAGCAAAGAGATGACTCTAGACGAGTTTTTCCCAACGAAAACCTTATCGGAAATGTCGCAGAATTAGGAAGTTTCGGATAAAGCACGTACTTTCAGAAAAGCGTTTAGCGACTTCGAGGGAGTACTATCGAAACTTTGATCCATGGTCAGGCCTCTGAGGACGAAGAATCTAGTCTAAATGTCAGGCCAGTAACAACGAGTTCCACATAACAACTTTGGTGACACAAACACAATCGTTTCCTGGGAATATTTCTGCGAGTTCAAATATCACGGAGAAGGCAGAGATGCTAAAAATCAGCTGAATCATAGAGTTTAGAAGCCGTCTTCGGACATGGTAGTGCTTGCTAGCATGGGCGGTGTACTCCTTTCACAGTTCAAAAACAAGTGAGGTAAACTTGAGTCGCTCGCTGGAGTCTCTCCCCCCCCTGACTATGCAACGCCCCACTTTCGTTTCTGCAGGTTTGCTAGCGACGCGGTTGTTCCACTATTAGCTCTCTCCGTCCCGAATGGTGAAAGTGAAGTGATAAGAAAAAAGAGCTGATTTCAACAAGTGGTAACTCGTTCGGCTGTGCACTTCTTCACCCTATGTATACTCCTTATCTCTGAGGCAGAGTAGGTGTGGCATACGAACATGGCACAGAATGGGTTACTAGTGGGATAAAGACAACTGTCACCTTGTTCAGTATAGGACAGAGACACGTCACAACTGTGTAAGAATAAAAATATATCCTCAACAGCACAGCCACGGCTACGTTTAGTTCAAGTGCGCAGCCACACCTACCCCTTCCTAGGGATTTCGCGTTTACGTGCAAGCGCGTCCGGCATCGGGCTGTAAACGAGGCATTCTTAGCTAACTTTTCTGCTTTGTTCTTTACTTTTGTGTTATTCGCCACCCTCCCAGTTAGTATTTAAGCAGCGCAGCTGACTATTTTCGAACGCGCGGCGTGCCTTTAAGTCCATCGCTAAACACCCAACATAAACGGATTCGAACCCGATCAAAGAAATAAAGAACCTAGGTATTGTGCAACAATATGTATAGCATGAATGGCGCGTCTGTGGTGTAGTGAGAAGTGGCACGGTAGCACAATCGGTACCGATTCGTCTGGGATGATAAAACACTGCTTGTACCTTGGCTGGCCAAACAAGCCATCATGTAGGTCACAGCGCATACAATAAGTCAGTGCGATCCTGAGTACAGCTAAAATGCATGCTGCATCCCAAAAACTGACCGACCAACGACGCAAAATTTACCGTTTTGTGGAAGGATTACAATTGCATTTATATTCAAATTTATCACATAAAAAAATTCACGCTCATCGTATGGCTTCCGGCGGCCCTACCACCGTGATAGGCGTGGCATCGGTACCAGAATAAGGCACCGACTATGGTATTTTACACATATGTCATAAACGAGACATCATCTTCCATCTACTATATCCCGCATTTCACAGTTCGAAGTAAAACACGATTCACTCCATTCAGAGACTCATCCACTCATACGTTTTGCAGCGATAGCTGTTGCCACACGAGAGGCGTTCGGACGGCCCATCTTGGAGCAAATCCAGATGGATGCCTCGACCAGTTTGTCCAGGTCTACTCCCTAAAACGCTGACAGAATCACCCACAATGAAACGAAAAGTTGATAAATTTGAATAAAATGAAAGCAAGATCGCTTACGGTTTCGAAGCCCATGTCGTGCAACATATAAACCAAGTCCTCCGTAGCGATATTCCCAGTGGCACCTTTGGCATAAGGGCATCCTCCAAGGCCAGCTATCGATGAATCAGCAACACGAATACCATGCTGGAAAAAAGTGAAGTGATCGCTAAATACTCGCATGAAAATTACAGTTGAAAACACCTCAATGGCTATGACGACATTTGCCAGTGCTTGACCATAGGTGTCATGGAAGTGAACTGCTATTTTTTCAACAGGAGCGGTTTTCAAAACAGTTTCGAGCAACTTGGTGACAGAGCCAGCGCTTCCAACACCGATCGTGTCACCCAGCGATACTGAAGAACGATACTGGATAGAAGGAGAGAAAGATATATTTAGATTCAAGCTTTCTGAAGCTTGACCAGAATCCGATTACTGGAGAATGTTTCCTTTTTCGCTCGAATTTTCAAATATAGCCAATGATTACTCGTTCGATATTCTCATCCTTTAGCATTACTTTCTTGCTCTCTTGGATTTTGCTTGAAACCACGGTCTACGATCCCGTCGAAGCGCGCATCACATGTTGAGGAGATGTTGCCACTGCCTCCGGAACGGGACCATGGTACGACAGGAAAAGTGTTCGTAGGCCCTTGACGCCCAGTCACACGTGAAAGAAGGTGGATCGTGTCTGACCATGATTGAGTTTAGCATTGAAAATATCAAACACTCAGGTACGTGTCTTTAAGCAAGGGCGAGTGTCTGCAATGCTGGCCGAGAAATCACCAAATACAAGACCAGAATGGTGGACTTCCAACGTCTTGAAATACAGTGGAAGATGTTATACACGACTTGCAACCATTACAGGATCTTCACCTTCATAACAACCAGCCTCTAATAGAGCGTCCGTTACGTTCGCTACAACAGCACTGTCGACTTTACCTTCATAGGGGCACCCAACTACGCATGATACGTACCTGAATTATACGAAATAAAATATAAATGAGCATACAATCAGAGCTAATGCGTACCCTCTGACTTTTAATCCCTCCTTTAAGGCCGCCTTTGTAACGTCTTGAAGTTTTCGAAGGCTGTCTTTAACATTGGAGTTCACGTTTCTCCTGAATGAAGACTATGAATGACTTGAACATAAGACAAAGATAAGCCGCACTCACATTGAGAAAGTGTCAGAAGCCGCGGTGAACACAGCAATCTCCTTGACGTGTCCATTTGTTAACTAAAGTGAAATAACGATTACAGTGCACGTGCTTCATGAAATGTTCTACGATGACAATCCTGAGAATAGAGCAGAACCAGTGAAAGAAGTAATAGGTATATATCACTTAGATGTAAAGTGTAAGAACTGTGTTGGGTCCCTTGGAAGACCAACACACTTATTTACTGCGCTTACCACATTATTCAAGCCTGCGAGATTCGGAACGAGTACAGGATATGAAACACCGGGGAATTTTCTGATTTTCTTGATCACTTCTTGGTGATCGGCCATTTGCGGAACCCATTTAGGCGACACAAAGCTAGTCGCCTCAATACTCTGTAATCTTATGAAAAAAATCATACACGTTTTTGAACTGCCAAACCCGTAGATCTCACCATTAGACCACATTCGCTCAGTCTGTTGATAAGAGCCACTTTATCCTCAGCACTGATGATTTGCTGAAAATTGTCAAGATTAATGGAGAAAATGCTCAAGATATTACAATGGATGTCGAGCGATTCACCTTTTCATTTTGTAAACCGTCTCTGGCTCCTACTTCAACAACTTTGAATAGTTTGTTCTGAAAAAAAGCAGATAGAAAGTGTCCCACTCAAAAGCGAAAGAAGGTAAAACGGATGAACCTTTATGGATGCAGTAGCAAAGTTCCTACTGAAGTTCAAAGAAGGAAGTCGCATCCGTTCAGAAGGAATATCTCAAAAATAGTTTTGACGAAAACAAAATTTTTTGAAAGGATGCTCGGTTCGATTGGAGCCTCGTATTGACGTGCACCACGGGCAAGTAAATCAGTGTTTCGCCCTCAAACATGCAACTTTCTAACAGCTCGAAAAAATTTCGAAGTTCCACTTCAGAATTCACCAATGATGGAAGAAAACTACCCTTTAAATGTTTAGATGAAGAATGAAACAATTAGGCATTGTTCACAGTCTGCGACCCTGACGAAACGGCGGTTGGGAGAAAAGCAAAAAATAGTCATCGATCGGAGAATCGCCAACCGCTAGTTTCGCCGAACCGCCGCGGTTGGGCGGTTGGGCGAAAAGCAGTAGATGTGTATCGATTTCGCTGGCGAAAAACGCCACCGCGATGGAGCTAGCGTTTTGTCGAAGGCGAAAAACGTCGCGGTTTGGCGAAACGCCCGTCGATACGTATCAAAACCCTTTCGCCCAACCGCCAGTCGATACGTATCGAAAGCTTTTCGCCGAACCGCCGCGTTTCAGAGAAACGCTGGACCGCAGAGTGTGAACAATGCCTTAAGAAACCACTCTCACTTTTCTTATTAGAGGAAACTGAGTATGGCGAGCTAGGCCTCAATAAAGAACTAGTACATACGATATCAAATTTTCCGACACTCGCAAGAGTGAAGGAAGTCTGAGTAGCACTTTTTCTCACTCTGTGAGAACCTTTCGGAACGCAAAAAAAACTAAATTCACTTTTTGCACCAGAATGATTGCCTAATGTAAATATAGCTCCAATCAAACTAGCAAAGGTAGATGTGCAGGCCACATTACGGTAGCTACAGTAAACTGCGACAAATTTCTGCAAATTTGAGTAGGGCCTAAGTTTTTCATCCTTATCAAGTAGCTGTTGTCAACCCATAATTTTCGTCGTTAAAGTAGACGTTAAAAAAGTAGATGTGCTCATCATCGAAGTTTTTAGATGAGACGTACAATTTGGTCGTGGTCGCTTAGGGCCCTTGTTGTGCTTGTGTGCTCATATTATTATTATTATTTAGGATGGATTTATTTTTAGTTGGTCGCTACTGCCGTTATCGTTGTTGTTCATTCGGGGGGAATCAGCTCTTTGTTACAAGCAGCTAACTTTATTTCCATTTCAGACATGGGTGACGATGAGAAAATCGCGGAAGTTCGCGAAAAGAAAGCGAAAAACGTTATGAGGGAGCTGAAGATCCAGAAGCTGTGCCTCAACATCTGCGTAGGAGAGTCTGGTGACAGACTTACTCGTGCAGCTAAGGTTTGCACCGTTGCATTAATCCTTACTTTTATATTTCACTTGCCTCCTTAGAAAAGTTAGCGAACGAGTTGCCCCACATTATATCATTAGAAGTCTTGTCTGAGAGGGAATCTCTTGTGTGGGGAAAAGCTCAATGCAACCCTCACAGGTCACTCGCTGAGGAAATCTTTGGCGGTCAATGCAAGCACCATTGAGAACGCTTGTTTATCCTTCTAAAAAGTGAGTTCGATTGAAGTAGTGCGTAGAAATCTGATATGTTACAAGAGAACAATCGGAGCCTGAGGCGTAGAAAGAAATAATCTGCTAATTATTTCAACTAAGTTCTTTCAAAGCCTCATTTAGGTGTTGGAACAGCTCACCGGTCAAACCCCAGTGTTCTCAAAGGCGCGGTACACTGTTAGGTCGTTCGGAATTCGACGAAATGAAAAGATTGCTGTGCACTGTACCGTTCGTGGTCCAAAAGCGGAGGAAATCCTTGAGAAGGGGCTCAAGGTGAAGGAATTCGAGTTGTACAAGGAGAATTTCTCGGATTCCGGCAACTTCGGCTTCGGAATACAGGTGAGCGAGGTTTTTGGCACGCATATGTCTTATAGCCATTCAGCTTCCTATTAGTATTGTTCGTATGGCGAGATATACAAAATTTGATAATTGTGTAGGGGGCTTTTCCATTATTGGTTTTCAAACGCTCGTTGCTATGTACCCACTGCGTGATCAGGATTAGTTTTAGAGAACTCCTTTCATAAAGTATCGCCAAATTTTACCCCTACGAACTCTACCTACTGCACTTGCCTTGGTGTAGTGGGCAACATTTGATGTGGACCAAGGAGTAGTCCAGATATTTCAGACATGGGTGACGATGGCCTGACGTTTTGGAAGCAAGTTAATCGCGGACTGGACGTTTTAAGAGAATTCGCGTTTAGGGGATGGCTGGGTATCGATAAGCGCCAGCCGGTAGTATTTGAGGAGAATCGGAGGCTAGGAGTCGATCGATACCTATCCACATTTTCTGACATTCTCCCTGAATGTGGATTTCACGAACCTACTACTCTTCCGAAATGCCGGAAAGGGACACTTTAGCTTGGCGGGCAATCGATGTTTTGAAAAGAAAACGCGCGAAAACGCGTCAAAGGAATGTATGGGATTGACCGGTGGTAATCATGTGTAGTTTGGCGTCTTGGGAGGACGCGCCTTGTCACCTCATTTCTTTTTGAACCTTTTTGTTTGCAACCACCGTTTTCGGGTACAATTCTTACTATCATTTTGATATCGAATTTCGGACATAGTTGATGCTCTACGTTGTTTTGAAAATGCAACTATTGCTGTTTCGTTTTACCAGTTCACATTCTGACTCTTGCGCAGGTAGTATTCACGGTATACTTCTTACTACAAAGTAGCTAAGTATTAGGTTGATGCATATGTTATTTTCCCCCGACTTTTTTGTAAATATCTCAATAGCGAACCAGCCTGAAGATTAGAGGTATGCACCATCACCATCCACTACTCGACGCCAACGCTCAGGCAGCTTGTCGATTCCATCCTCCCAGAAGGACGGGGGCTGGGACCTGAAGAAGGCCACAATGCCGCACAATCACCACTGTGACATGGTTTTCACAGTGGTAATTGTGCGGCATTGTGGCCTGCAAATGCAGGGTGGGTGAGTGATAGCTAGTGTGATGAAAGAGTATCATGTACACGTCACGCACACGTGATGACGAAATACCAACATCCATGCAAACGAAATACGGAAGGATCAAAACAGGGAAAAAAAATATGCATCAACCTATAAGAAAGTTCTGACCCTTTTCATCAGTGTAAGTATTTCTCAAGGTCTTTCATTTTTATATTTGGATCACGCTCTACCTAGATCGTGCTGTTTCAATTCTCTTATCAACTTTCTCTCCCATAAACTTCCTATAAAATTGCTTCGTTAGAAGCTTTTTCATTTGGAGTCGAATACTTGCTTTTTAGGAGCACATCGATCTTGGTATCAAATATGATCCTGGAATCGGTATTTACGGTATGGACTTTTATGTAGTCCTTGATCGTGCTGGGCGTCGTGTTGCTAGACGGAGACGAGCCCCTGGTCGTGTGGGCCCGTCTCACAGAGTCCATCGTGAAGAGTCAGTGAAAGTGGTTCCAACAGAAGGTAACGTAACATTTGCTGAACATTGTTAATCTTTGTACTTATTGCTGTATATGGTTTTGTTCAGTATGATGGTATTATCCTGCCACCGAAGCCCAAGGTGAAGCGAACCGTGCACCGCCGACGATAAATCTCTTCCGATTTTTGTTGAGTCCATAAAATGTTGTTATATGAATTCTTTTTTCTTGCTCCATTCTTTCGAACAGCTTGAATGGCCTGTTTCTCTCTTCGTATAATATCAGCATGGTTGTTCGGTTCAGTGTCTCGCTTTAGTGAAGAAATCGGGTGGAATTCTTCGTGCGACCTATTTCCTGTATGTTTTACGACCTTGGTGCGTTCCTAACCAGTCAAAAGTCCCGTAAGCTCATCTTGTTCTCAGCAACTAGTAAAGAAACCCTCTGGCAGCTCACGCAAAGGGAGAGTTCCACTTGAAAATGATAGTGAGTAGAGGCCTGATTGAATCGAATAGTTCCAAGCTGACTGAAGTTTCACGAATGAAAGGACCAAAGTCTCTTTAACCTCCCTTCGAGCAAGGTTCGTGGTCAGAGCTTGGTCATAGAACAGTGTGCCTACATCCAAACCTCGCTTACTGTTTTATGCGAATTTCACTGAGTAAGTGTATGAATATCTAGGGTTATCAAATAAACCAACAGAACAAAAGCACTGAAATTGAGGAGATTGGTTCCTTAGAAATAGTATAATGCACGAAGTGAAACTTCAGAAAATCCCTGACAATGACGCTAAGAACACGAAGCCGTGGCATTGAGCGTCTGCGGCGCGTACTGTGAGATTCGAGTACCATCGAGGATGCAACATCACTGTGAGAAGCTATCGTTCGCAGAGCACTAAGAACCTTTACATGGTGTCATGTTGCATGGACATGGTCTATAGGAAACACACTACAGCTTTCACCGAGCTTGGTGTCGGCTTCTGACCAGAAACTAACGCGGAAAATATTTCTTTCTTGCTGAGCCGATCAGGTTTGTTATTAGTGAAACCGCTTCATTGGTCGACGTTTCGAGCAATTCATCGTCTTCCAGGGCCTCAATGTGGCTCGTGAACCTTCTTTCCAACCTACACGGTAAAGCGCCCTATAATACGATGCTAATTGCTGCACATCCCAAGAGCACCAAGTAGGAAACCCTCGGCAAAGAAACCAACCAATAAAGCGGTTTCAGTAACAAACGTGGAACAAGAGAGAAGCATTGTCTACATATGCCCTGGTTTCAAGAAGATCGATAACGGGGCTTACACGTCGAAGATGTTTGGCGAACGCGAACTTTTTACGTGTCACTGGATACTCTAGTTCGCTGCGGACGGTTGGGCGTGTCAGGCAGTATGAGTGTGTCAAAGCCGTTCTCTGCCTTCTTGTTGAAGCGCGCATGCGACAAAAAGTGGTAGAAAACGAGTAATACGAACGATATGATACAGTCATATCATTTGCTTGCTTTAACAACTGGTGGAGAACCAGTTTGGCACACAATAACGATTATTCAGTACAGCGCAAGTGGCTCACAAAAGAATTTAGGCGTGAGGTTGAGTGCATTGCGATAGATGGCTACGGACTCACATCATATTCGACGCCTTTACCTGAAAAAAGGTTATAAGACATTTGTCAGCCGGGTGCTCTCTCGCTGTGAGGGTCCAGAGGAGTTTTCTCATCGCATCTCCTGTTCAAACATTTAGAGGAAGGAAAATAAGGAAGAAGGATGAGAGGGAAGGAAGAAAAAGAAAGGAGGAGTAAGGAAAAAGGAAGGAGGAAGTTCGCCTTTCTTTATGAGGGCAGAATTGGCTAAGAATTTGTTTCCAGGGGTATTACGCCTCCTTAACAAAAATATCGCATCCGCTTGGCTTTGAACTATGGCGCTCGCGCCAGAGGCGCTTAAATGCCTTAAATCACCAATTTTGCTAGGAACTTTTCCCGAGGCGTTTGACCTCAAGAACATAATTGTCACATCCGCTCAAGCTGGCCCCGCGCCACAGGCGCCAGCGCGAAATACTCTCGATCACCGAAATTGCTAAAACTTACTAAGGTGGTTATTTGACATCCTGATTACGAAGGGAAATTCATTCCTGGCGCCGGCGCTAATAGAGGATACTACGACCATCTACGCTGTGTTGAGGCTGAGCCCGGCCCGAAAGGAATCGCTTCTTCTCCCAGGCTCGGCCTTAGCAGAGCGCTAAACCAAAAAATAAATGCCATTTTCGTGATCAGGTGCATGACTCCATTCCAAATAGCACCATATCTGAAAATGAATGTCATACTTGTGGTCAGTTCACCGAACAACCGAACGCAGTTCACACACTTTTTGATAAGAAAAGTGTTGGTGCAAAGTTGGCGTCTAGTGGCTCCCAAGGGCACGAGTTTGAAAAACCAACCAATGTCACACTCTTGATCAGGGCATCGGATAACCGCTGTAGGCGAAGTTTTAGCAAAGTTTTTATTTGTGGTAGAAGGATAGTAATACATGAATAGCATCCAGTAGTAAGTTGTATAGTATGATGTATCCTCGTGTCACTGCATGTCTCTTGCTGCATGATTTACCTATTACACAATACTATCTACAAGTGCTTCCTCTTCCTGCTCATTCAAATCGCACTTGCGAGGTGTATGGAACTCAAAAGAGGCTTACTGCTCTTCAAATGAAGTCAAACGGCGCGAGGTTTGCGCCCCAATCGCCATTAGAAGCGCGGATAACCAAAGATGGCAAAATGCCAGAAGCGCCGCGCGCGACACGTGCCGCGCGGATGCTGTAGGAATAGATGCCACCCAGTACGTGACCACGTCCCCCACAATTTATTTTCCGCCCGGTGCGAAAGTTGTTGGAGTCCAAACGGCATCAGCCGTTGACGACCGCCCTAATCAACTGCCCGGATGACTAGGGTAACTGCAGGACCCGCAAAATGAACGTGCCAAATTGCTTGAATTGCTGCGACAATGATGAAGTGTACAGAGGCTGTTTCCAACTGCTTCCTGCAGATCTTGAAGAAGCCGTTTCGAGCGCAGATTGCTTTAAGTTAAGGAAGCAGGTAGACTTCGAAGGAAATGTCCCCACTTGCGAGGTGCCTAAACATGATGAGAAGGCGTTTGTTCCTCCTTACAGGACTTTACCTATAATTCAACGGAAATTTTGTGGGAAACGCCACATCATCAACATTATTATAGAAGATTCGATGCTTTTGTGAGTATAGTGTGGTGATATTCCCATGTTGAGTTCATAGTAGTCGATGTTACTCGCTGGTGACGATAGTGACCATGATGCCCTAGTGCCGAAACCGCGCCGCGACCGCCGCTCACAAAGGCCGGATGCTGAAGTGCGATTTCGCCGTTTACCGTCGCCCCGCACATCATTGGTTGCGGTTTTTAGTCAAGTACATACGACCCTCTCCCCCTATTTTTTGGGGGGAGGGGGTACACCCCCCGCCACCTCCGGTCCTCTGTTCCTCCTCGAATCGAGCCGTCGAGCTGGGGGGGGGGTAAGGTATACGGTATATGTATATATATAGTATGCATGAAACAGGAAATCCCAACAATGAGCAAGTACGACCCCCCCCCCCTTTTACAACGTCCGTGAAGCGAGAAAAATCAACTATCAAAATAAATTTTTCTCAGCCCAAATACGACCCCCCCTCCTGGCGGCCAAATACGACCCCCCCCCCTTGTTGGGGATTCCTCAACAACGATGTGCCCTGAGCTGGCATCCACTCCAACCAACAATTTGACTGGGAGAGGTGTCGTCATCATATCAATAGGGCACACCCTGTTACAACCTTCCAGTAATCGAACATGTGCTTTGAAGAAAAGAGAGTTGCGAAGAAAAAAATCATTGAGTTAGTTAAGTGTTTTGTAAAAGGAGAACATTGGGGAGACATGCAAAACAAATACGTGCATCGTGCGTACCTTCGAAAAAAGCCGTGCACGAACCAATATTTTTTGGTTTTTATAATAGAATGGAGGTTCATTGACTTTTATCGAAGTTCCATGAAAATGCTGCACGAAAAACACAATGTCCTAGTGATTCGTAATTTAGAACGGTATTAGAACCAGATAAATGAAGTGATTAGAAGGCTATTCAAGACGCTATATTACCCAAGCATTGAGTACTTGATGAACCTCAAAAATTACAATGCACAAGGCTGACGGTAACACGCTCAAATGCCACCGCGACGCGGACGCACGAATTCTGTCAACGTTTTATACCGTTCGGTTAATCCAATTACTTTATTGTTTTTCAATGGAATGCTGTGCTTATCGATGAACATATGGCCTATTCCGTCACATATGTAGGGATATTAATCATTTCGCTATGCGGTTCTAGTGCGATTGATGCTGGTTAGCAAGGCTTATTGAAACTTTCTTGACGGGCGTACTGTTTCATGCTGAGTTTTAATTTTCAGGTGATTTGCTGCAGCAGAGAACCGGTGGTTATGAAATGGTGCTCATACATGAGGTATCGGACCTGAGTGCAATTCGTCGTATTTCCTTTACAGCATTTGGTACTAGTTTGAGATTTTGCCTTCCCAATTATGTTGTTTAGGCTGATGTTGAGTGAAACTACCACCGTCCATCGATGCTGATCCTGTTTCGAACTTGAAGATTTCACGTTGCTGATAAATGTAGAACGGCTGACCTCAAAACATTGAAGGGTGTGGAAGTGCATATGGCGAACCAGGCAAGAGACGTGCTTTGCAGGCGATGGAGACTACGGTGGTGGAGGGGGGGGGGGGTGTAGTTTAGCCTGTAGGAGGCGCGTCCAAGGAACAACTCAACCAATCCCTTAGATCTCCTCCAGGACTTTCTTCGCACACTGTAGGATGACCTCAGGATGAACTTGGTCCGAGTTTCGTGTACTGGCCCGTGTGGGTCTGGGGGCCCACCCTCCAGTGTTCTTCTGCAGATCCTTTTCTCTATCCTTTTCTATATTGAGCATTTTCCATCACCGAATTCTCCGCTCGGCTGTTGACCTCGTTTCTTACGGAGGTCTATGGCGATGTCTGCCACGAGAGGCCTGTGCTGAGGGCCAAGCTCTTGCTTGGGCCATACCTTTATATCCTTGATGGTTTTGGGAACCAGTCTCCTCACCGGTTCTTCATGGTCAATTTCCTGTCTCCAATCCACTGCTGTAGGTTATCTTCCGAGCCTTTTTCGCGAAGAAGGTGCTGCATTGCTAAGTCGTGTGCTGTGGCTAGGTCAAGGATCCTCTCCCTCAGCGTTCTTTGCTCCTATTCCTCTACCTCCTTTGCACCCTTTCTAGACCCTTCTGTCACTTCCCACATGGCCATTCAGATACCAGCTATGGTTATATACACCTACGTAACCGAGCTAATGGCCTCATCTAGGGTTTGCAACAGGATCATGCACAGAAGTTCATGATGAAAAAAACCGTCTAAGTGTGGCTCTACAGCCATGCATGTGATTGCGGCAACCGCCTGTGTGTGCGGTTAAGCCAGCGACCGACGATACTTTTACGTAGTATCGTTGGAATGTTTTGTTTGTCATTACCGTACATCATTAGCGTATTCGTTTCAGGACGTTCATATGTTGCCGTATTAGCTCCGACAATTGATATTCTTGATCCATATGCTCAGATTAAAATAAGCGATAGAAGTCCGTTACCACTTGATCCAAGTGATCATTACCGCGGATACCTTGAAGGTTTGATAAACATACTTCTATACCTTTTCATAACTTTTAAGATGCTTCTACCCATCGCGAGTCATGATATCATACGACTTCTGAATGCCTTAGATTAACGATCACCGCTTGAGCGAACTCTACAAGTCATCTGTCTAGCGGATTTTCCCTCCATCCTGGCAAAAAAAGAACAGTTCCACGTAGCAATACAGCCTAGTTAGAGAAGGGCGTGAACGGTCGTCGTGTACACTCTCCCTCAAAAGTGTCTTGTCTTGGATATGTCCTCTTGACAGGAGAGGACATTGCTGGGTCACATCACTAGTTCTTTATGCGTGTTCATGTCGTGGCATCCTGTATGCGGGCATTTAGAGGATAGCGGCTTCCGAAGCATCAAAATATGCAAAATGCTGGGCTTTTTGTAAGGAACAAGACTTCGTGGGCGAGTCACTAATCACGCGTAATCACGTGAAATATGTGAGTTTACAAAGGTTATACAACGGCATGGTGACGAGAGAATGCAGAGAAGACCAAAAATTGGCCACGATTGAAAGGATTCAGGGCAAATAGCTCGTAGGTTTTCTGTTAGGAGTCGGCTATGATTCGAAGAAGACATCTCGAAAATCCCTCATTTTCTGTCTAAGCGGAGCAGTGACGGTAGATGACATAGTGAACGAATACAAATGGAAAAACGCCCTGAGTTGCACGATTTCGATAGCAAGTCACGTAATTCTATCAAGGTATCGTGAAAGAAAACACCCCATGTGCTCAACGTTAGTACAGACAGACTTTTCATTTTAGTACCCGGAAAGGTTAATGTGCTTACGATCAGCTCGTCGGTGACGCCTCCAGTAGGGAGCCAGTAGTGTGGGTTGCCATGCTACTCGTTCTGCTTCGACAGGCAAACTACAAAATGCTGAGTCATCGGACCATTTCATCTCCTTCAGATCATCGGACCATTTCATCTCCTTCAGACTTCAGAAGTCTTGATAAATTAAAATCAAAAAATTAAAACTTAAACAGCCCAATAATTAGATTTCGCTCTAATTTCGAGGACCACGATGGCATTCATGCAATTTTTCTTCTGATAGTTCGCGATTTCATTTCATCAGAACCATTATGGATACCGGCTGCTCGTTAAGTGATTATTTTTTTCTTCTTTTTTAATTAGGTTGATGACAAGTTAATTTGGCGTTCTCGCTATTGAACCGGTTTATTTTTTCTGCTCTTTCTAGCAGTCTTTTCTCTTGATAGGAGATCATTTTTTTTCAAGGGAATCCTCATCACACGGTTGTTTTGTCACGGCTTATGCCTGGTATCTATATTGGTACGATTTCTGCCGGCAACGATTCCGTTTACATAGAGCCTGTTTTTTTTCACCATGAATCCACCAATCAACGGTAAGAGTTGCTTATTTTCCAATCATTCCGTGTGTGGTGATTCTCTTAAAATTTCACTCCTTTTTAGTAACGTGCTAGTATTTCGTACGGGTAGCCTTGATGGAACGGGTATTTTTCGTAGTTTAAGTGAATACGGTCTATTAGCTCCAGTGCAGGTTGGACTTTCTCTCTCAGTTATTTTCTGCCTCTTTCATGTCCAACGTATATGAAGATACTGTTATTTGTTTTCACAGGTCTTTGCCACATCATTAGCTTCTTTGTGAAAGCGTTTTATGAATAGCTGTTTTTCTAAGATCAGTTACATCATAAGTGTAGGATAAATTGATGGGGTTTATGTCCAATTTAATGCTCGGTGAATTATTTGACGATCGAGTATTTTTTGAATGATATTAGGTGCTATGGTCTCAGAAAACCCCTTTCAATCATTTTGATGGATTACTTAATTATTGGTACGGAGCAGAAAACTACATCGTTCACAAACCTCTTACTAGCTTGCAAATTATCAAGTCATCAGGGTAGCAGGGTTGTTACTCGCCATTTGGTTCTGTTATGGTCAATGCGATAATGCGAGGACTTTTACTCGAAATTCCAATACTGAGTAGTCGTGGAGAACTGTATTAGCGACGAAAGTTACAAGGACAGTGAACGCTGCAAGGAATTAAAACGGTATCGGAGCAGATTTGCGTGAATTTGACAATCATTCCGTTTTAGGATTCTTCGACAATTGCAAATATTGAATCGGTAGTTCGGCGGCGACGGCAGGTGGTTCCTAGAGAAAACGAAGTTCGTAATAGATGTCCTCTGAAAATCGTTGCC